ATAACCGTTTTTGTACGCATGCGATTGGCTGTCCCAGAGGTACGGTACAGCCAATGAAAAGTGAGCACAGGCCAAGTCTCTATTATTGCTAACACGGTCTTATCTGCAGTTCACTTGAGTGAATTCTGCAAAACTCTCTTTTGTTGGTTATATTTTTAAAAAAATGATTCAGGATTTTTTGAACGGATCGCCCTTTGTCATTTCCTCAGAAATCGGATCGCGCGTGATGGAGCTATAGCCTTGTCAAAAATTCTTCCCAATCATCCTTCACTGACCGTACTTGACCTTTCCTACAACCGAATTCAATGTGCTGGGGCTATTGCAATCGCGGAGGCCCTTCGAAATGATAATAACCGACTCAAAGTGTAAGCTTAACCATGTTCATTAGCGCCCTCACCTATGGCTATGCATGCCCAAGTCAGGCAAAATTAAATGTCTGTTTATTTGCTACTGTATCCGAAATATATTTTTGTCCTCCTTCTAGACTCTGTGTGGCCTTCAATGAACTGAAGCCGTTAGGTCTTCGCGCTCTTGGAAAAATGATGTTTGAAAATGACACAATCCAGTGCATTTACATCTGGGGGAATGAGTTTGATGACGACGTTTGCGAGGTAACTCATACTGTATCATTGGCTAACTTATATTCTCCAACAGGACACACATAGTCTGGTCGCGTTAAAGTGAAAGTTAAGTTCTATTCTCGCACACCAAGTCGCTACGAGGCACCGAGTCGATGCAAGCGACGCCTTTCAGATTTACTACCTGAGATAAGCCATCTTCTCTAAGGGTCCACGCAAACAGCTGTGGCAGTGACTATAGGGCTAGCGAATTCAGTACTGTGCTGTCCAAAGACGCTAATACAGACGATGCCTCTTCCGTGGTCGACGCCCGGGGGTGCTCCATGCTTTTGTTCATTCCGTGCACGCGATAGTGACATTCGCTCCGTGTAATCGGTCCCTAACCACTAATCACAGCCTACATTACTTTCCAACAGTTCAATTACCTGTACGTGTCGACCTCGCTATGGAGATGGTGTGAGAACTTTTATTTTTTATCATGCGACATTTATCAGCCCTCCCCTACTCGCGTATTATTATTACGAATGCAATCATGTCGGCCAGATGGAGAATAGCCGAAACATGCTTGCGGAATAGCCTTCTCAAATTACATAGAAATGTTGCCCCCTATTTTACGTGAACACTGCGTGTACCGCAGGTTAATTCGGGACAGAAAAACAATGCCTAAAAGGACACTGCTGCTAATATTTGATTAGATAATCTTGCGTTTGTATGGGAACAGAGCTTGCTGAGCATTTTTATTGTCTTTCAGATATTTTCTCAACTCCTCCTGATTGGACGATTGACGGAAGAATGCACAGACGTTCGACCTTACAAAGTTGACGGACATACGCACCTCGGGATGCTTAATCATGACTGTGATTATCGTCGCTATCGATTTGCCGTTCCCTGGTGGAAGAGCCAAGCACCTTCTGATCGATCAATTGCTCTCTTCTAGCTAGTCTGCGCGAATTTTACAAAGGCTTTGAGTTCAGCCTTTGAGTGCCCAGAAGAAGGATTGACACTGGAGATGCGATGAATGAGTTTCTTGGTCGGCCACTATCATATCGGCGTATACTCTGCTTATTTTACGTTCTCCAACAGAGAGAGCGGTGAACTGTTCTGGTGTTGTGGTTTTGCTTGTGTACCTGGTGTTATTTATTACTGTAAAAGTAAGTTAAATCCTGACAAGCGACTTTTTGAGGAAAACGTCTTCTGCAGGGGGGAGAGGGTGTTCGTGACTTAAGCTCAGATTGATTGTGCTGCAATCTGTAAGTCGGTTAAAAAGACGGATGATTTTTGTTCATTGCATTGACTTGAGGCGACGTGTCATCGAAGAAACCATGATATCACTTGACAGGAGACTTACCCCCTTATGTTTCCAAAAAAAATGTGTGGATAAGCGGACCGTGGTCTCCGAATCAGCGGTCAGAAATTTGTGACGCCGAAACAGCCATTTTGCCAGTCCGTACATTGGAGTGCCCCTCAGTGATACGATGATGATACGATACGATGAGATGGAGAATCGCCTTGGCCATGCCCAAATCCTACAGCTCCTGAAGTTCTGTCTCAGGATGTACTTTACGTTTGACGGAACAATCTACGAGCAGGTGAAGGGGACACCGATGGGGTTCACAGTTGCGGGACTCACAGTCGAGGCGTACCTACAACGGCTGGAGTCGCTGGTCTTCCGACACCACAAACCAATATTCTGGGCGCGGTATGTGAGCGACACGTTCTTCGTCATCGAACGGGATCAGGTGCTCACGTTCAAGGAACGTCTCAATAGCTTCTTACCAACAATCCAATTTACGATGGAGGTGGAAGAGAACAACCAGCTGGCCGTCATTTATGTCCTCATCTTTCGCAAAGATTGTGGTGGCCTAAAGGCTTAAGTATTCAGGAAAGCGATAAACTTGATGCAAGTACTAAATTACAACAGCGACCACCCAATCAGCTACAAACGCAGTTGAGTAAGGACGCCCTACCGGCGTGGTTGAGACGCACTGCAGCGAACAAGAAGACAAAGTTGCCGAAGTGTAATATCTTTGACGGGTGTTCAGAGAGAACGGTTACCCGCGCAACTTCATCAACCCATGCTTGCGCAAACGAGATGGCCAAAAAATCGCACCAACTCCAAAATTTGGCGAGCTATCCCGTACGTCAGAAACTTATCGGAGGCTGTTGGCCGCCTTCTCGCACCACTTGGATTTGGAGTCGCACACAGGCCGGAGGCAACCATAAGGCATCAGATAATACAACCGAAAGACCCAATGCCACGACAAGAAATATCTTCAGTCGTCTGCAAGATCGGTTGCATTTACGGGCAAAGCCACTATGTCGGAGAATCTGGCAGGCTTCTCAAGACGCGAATTGCCGAACACGCGGCAGCTGTTCGGCGAAATGATGCGAATTATCAAGGTGCGCCGCATTCGACTAGACCCGGCCACACATATTTAAATTTGATGGGGCCGAAATTTTCGCAATAGGTGACAATCGAGTGAGCCGATAATTACTTCAGTCATACTTCACGGGCCCCCAATCCATAAACAAGTGCACCGATTTGCCAAATCCATATTTGGTGCTGAGACTCAATTTGGCCAAAGCAATTCTTAACTTGGGAAAGGGACAGGTCCTCACGTCATCCTACGCAAACACCAGAGGGCCAGGTGGCCGGACAATCATCACGCCGCTGTCCACCACGCTTGGCGAAAGTTCAACAGGTCAGAGCCCGCATGCCGACCAACAAACTGTCTACACACAAGAAGGCAATTAACGCTAATTGTCGCTGCATGTTTGCAACAATGACTGTGTCCTATAAATACTGCAAATCCCTGTGCATCTATTACCCGTTTTTACTACTGTTTTCAGCTAATGTCTCTGATGATGAATCCGCGACGGATGCGGGCACTTCAGGCGAAGTGCCAGCGATCAAGTCGTCTTCAACTCAATAAATACTCTCTCATGACAGAGCCATGGACATTCATCCCGCTTAACTAGCGCTCCGCATAAGGCTAACATCTGCTCAGAGCGAAGCAATAGGTCGGCAGCCGTGTGCGAAGAAGGTGGAAACGCTCAAGGCGCACACAAACGACTTGACACAACTATCGATCGGTACAATCGATCGATACGCAGGTGTCAGGCCCAGGTTGCGGTTAGACAGACTCACTCGACAATACGCTCTGACGATAGATGCGAGTATGCTTTCGAAACGTCAGCATTAATACACCTTAGTGTCCGAAATTGCCCCGTCTTCTTCTTCCTCTTCCGTAGGCGATTAAAGCAATACATGTAGCGTTTATATAGCGTATTTTTGGGCCTCCATCATTTACGCTCACTGTACTGATCCCAAAATGCCAGACACATAATTTGTAGAAACTGAAGTGAAACCCCAATATATGCTTCAGATAATAAGTCCACCTATGCTACTTCTTCTTCTTCTTCTTCTCCTTAATAACGTAAAGACATGCATACTGGGGAAGACATACTTTCATAGCAAGAGAATATTATTCTGTATAGTTCAGTATAGTTCAGTATATTTAGGGTAGTAGGCAATGCCTTTG